AGCCAGCGCCCTCTCCGTGGTCTGTCTGTCGAAAAGCTCCACCTCTCGACGCATCCTCTCGATCTCCTCCTCGCTCAAGCGAAGCGGCCCGTCTTCCGAAGGAGCCGAAGACTGGCTCGGGTTCACGCCATCGGGGAAAATCCTGGTGTCTCGAGGCGTGGCCTTGGCTCCAGGGACGTAGCGTGTCCTCGCCGAAGTCACCCGCCGGGTCGTAGACGCGAAGTCCGGCGCCAGCTGCAGAGCCCACAGCGGTCGCGCCGAGGAAGTTGCCGAGGGCTGCGGAAGCGGCAGCTGCCGCGAGGATGGCAGCTCTTCCCACGCCCCGAGGGCCCATCGCCACCGCGTCCCGCACAGAGTGCACCGGGAAAAACTTCCGTGCTGGTTCCCGGTCCTTGCCATCGACGCCGTAGGATGGGAGCACGGTGCCACCATCTGTTCCAGGATCCGAGTTGTGAAGTCCTGATGCGCCGGATCGCAGTGAGCTATCCACGAGCGTGGCCGCAACCCAAGCCAAGCCTCACGGTCTGCATCATGAACTTCACCAGCGTCATCTCGGCCTTCGTGAGGAAGGTTACCATGTGGCGCCAGGCAATCAGCCATTGAGGCGGAGGCCGGCTCGTTTCCATGTAGCACTGTCGTAGTGTTGGGCTCGAGGGGCTGCCTCACCAGTTCGAGGTCGGGATCACCTTGATCCAAAACTCTGCTCAACACTTTCCAAGGTGACCGGTCTCCAGGGAAATTGGCAATGCTGATGCACAAGTGACCGTTGATCTTAACAATGGGAACCTCAATGCCAAATGCTCCAAAATATGCACACCCCTTGGGAAAATCAAGAACCGCCTGCAACTTGCGCTCAATCATGGAGAGGCTCAGCAACAAAGGAATCTCACAGTTCTCGTGCAGCACGCTGGTTCCGAACAAACAACACGTGCTCACGCTATTGTCCAGGGAGACGGGCACATACGCATGCTCAGAGCTGAACTGCACGGGACCAAACCCAAACTGGAACCCTTCCTTCTCAGGCTTAGTCTTGACGATCATCTTGTGTTGCCGAAGAAGCTTCTGCTGGCCTTGCAACCAGCTGCCACTACACACAGTCTTTTGACAGGCGGTGTCGAGCACTGCGTAGCCAGCAAAGTCGGCCGGCTTGGTGATAAGGACCTCGGACACGTTGTGTGCCACCGGCAAAGCTGCACAAACAAAAGTGGTGAAATAGCTGCCATACTCTTTCTCGTGGTCTGGGTCCTCAGCTCCGGCCTCGTGAGTCGAAGGAGTGCCCTCGGAACGCACAATCATGACCTTGGAGCTGCCGCTGACTGGCTTGCCGGCCTTGGGCGCCGCCTTGGCTACGCCCTTTGGCGGGCCTTTGCCCACGCTGGATTTGCTGACAGGACACTCTGCATCGCCCGCCCAGTGCCCTTGCCGCCCGCAAGCTGAGCAGTTTGACCGCTTCTTGCGCTCCTCGATGGTCGCCTTGCCACCTGTGAATTTCCTGCCAAGGCGAACTCCTTGCAAGCGGCGAGCCGTTACAGTCAGAACGCCCGCAGCCTCCATGATAGCCTGGGCGATCTCGTCGTTGTCGTTGGTCTCGTCGCCGTCGGCAAGGAGCTCCTCTTCCTCGGGGTCGACGGGGTTCGCATCGCCATCGTCTTCGACTTCCTCGCCGTCCTCCGGGATGCCATCGAGGTTTTCATAGTCCTCGCCGCCCAACTCCTCGGCATGGTCGGCAACGTAGGCGCTGTAGCCCTTGTTGCCCTTGCCTTTCGGCTTGCCTTTTGTCTTGCCGGCCCCTTTTGGCTGGCCCTTGTCCTGGAGCCTTTCGTGCTGCGCCTGCTTGCCACCATCGAACTCACGAGTGAAAACCACCGGGGGAATCGGCCGGTGCTCAGGGAACTGAAGCTGCGCCGCCTCCTTGACCGCGTCGAAGTGCAGCGCCTGATTTGTCCCGATCAATATCATGCGCTGCTGCTCGCTAGTCAAGCGCAATCTTTCCAGCAGCCGCGCTCCCCTGGCCTCGCTGTCGTACATCGGAGCTATGTCAACTCCGCACGACAGAAGCGCACGTTCAACTCGGTGGTACCGATTGCAGAAGCTCCTGACGCTCTCGTTGTTGAAGCGAGATAAGTGCTCGAAGTCATGGATGTATTTGCGTTTCTGATAGATAGCACGAGTCTTGAGGGCACTGCGCAACGTGTCCAAAATGAAATCGACGCCATCCTTGGAATTAATACGCTTCAAGTCGGCCGTCTCAAGCTCGTCCTCGGCCTCGCCCTTCAGGCTCACGAACAAAGCCATCGCCGCCTCATTGTCGGGAAGGTAGCTCGCGACCTGAAGCTGCCACACTCGAACTTTGCGTTCCCACCGATCGTAGGCGCGAAGGTCGTCCTTGTTGTAATGCCAAGCCGGCGGCGCCGGCGGAGCGCCACCTCTGAACTTGATCCCCTTCTCGGGGCCCTTCCGACTATTCCACTCGCTGGAGGGCTTCTGCTGGAGCCGCAGATCGCCGAGGTCATGTAGCATCTGATCTCGCCATCCGTCACGTCTCGGGTCGTCTTCTCGAGGCACGCCTGGGGGCTCAGGTAGCACAGCACGCCGTACTTGCGGAGAACGAGGTTCTTGAAGCCGTGCGCCAGGCGCCGCCGCAGCTGCCGCTCGCCTCTGCCGCCTTGAAAGCCGCGGCAAAGGCCGAAGAGTCTCCGGGTCAATGGAGCCGTCGTAGGTGGGTGCCTCAGACTCAGCTCTAGCCTCGTCCCACTCACCGGCCGAAGGCTCTGAAGGAGGTCGTCGCTGCCGATGCAAAGGTGAAGGCGGGGTAGGAGACCACGGCCTTGGGGCAGTACTCGGAGAAGCTGTCGACTCTGAGGTCGTGGTCGCCGAAGGTTCGTCTTGCAACCGGTGTGGCATATACATCCACACTCCTCTCGCAGCTTCTCTCCTGGTCGGGGTAGTGCTATCGTAGAACTGGGTGGAGCCACATCTCAAACACACCCACAGGGCGCGCTCACGCTCCTCCCAAGCATCGCTGTCACACTGCAAACATCGCCAAGTCGGCCTATCAGGAAAGTCCTGCCGAAGTGGCGGGAAAGGATCGGGCTCATTCCAACCAAGGTCCCCTGCCGTGGTGGTCTCGACGGGCTCGTTGCGCGGCACCGGAACATCACCCCCTGGGCTGCAAGCAGCTCGCCCCCGAAAGGGCTCCCACCAGGCATCAGCTGGAACCACTTCACCTGGCATCGCAAGTCCTGGAGGTGGTCGGAGATCCTGCGATCGGGTGCCGCCGGCTCTACGGGGGCTCTCACCAAGGAACTCATCAATGGTGGCGTCCGGCCCGGTATCCACGGCAGCCATGGATCGAGGCAGCACAGGCCCCGCTGCCAACTGACAGAAGCTCTTGCTTCACGAACTGCTGCAATCAATGCATCAAAAGAGGGCGCCCATTTTCACAGCGAAAGCTAACAGCTCAGCGTACGACTGGTGAGCCAAAGATCCGCGACAGTTAAAGTCACGTGTTCGAAAGGTGCTTCTTCACAATTTAGACATGGTTGCAAATTTCGGGTTCTGGGCTTGCCTGATTCTTGTTTGGGATGAGGTGGTGGGTCTACGGTTTGGGGTTTAGGGTTCTGGGCTTGCATGATTGTTTTGTGGGATGAGGCGGGGGGTCTCAGGTTTGGGGCTTTAGTTGCATGATTTAAGGCGTCTTGAGGGTTTTGTGGTTTGTGGGTTTAGGTTTAGGGGTTTGTAGGGTTTAGAGCTTAGGGGTTTTGAGGGTTTAGGATTTAGGCCTGTTAGGGTTTTAGGGTTTGTTCGGGTTTAGGGCTTAGGGGTTGCAGGGTTTAGGGTTTAGGGGTTTTCAGGGTCGAGGGCTTAGGGGTTTTTGGGGTTTAGGGTTTTTTTGGGTTTAGACTGTAGAGGCTTTAGGGTTTTGGGTTTTTGGGTTTTAGGGCTCTGGGGTGGTTCGGGAACATTAGCTCAGGGGCTTTTAGGGTTGAGGGCTTAGGGCTTTTTAGGGTTTAGGGCTTAGGGCTTTTGTAGGATTTATGAGTTTAGGGTTTTTTGGGTTTAGAGTTTAGGGCTTTTTAGGGTTTAGGGCTCAGGGGATTTTAGGCTTTAGGGTTTTTCAGGGCTTAGGTTTTGGAGTTAGGGGTTTAGGGTTTAGGTTTAGGGTTTTAGGGTTTTTTTGCCACCCGTCTAGCCACGGCAATGCGGGGTACAAGGTCTTAGGGTTTAGGGTTTAGGGTTTAGGGTTTAGGGGTTCTCAGGGTTTAGGGTTTAGGGTTTGTTGCCACCGTCTAGCCATGCTCCACGGGGCCAACTGAATGAGTTTTTTTGGGTTTTGGGTTTTGATTTTAGGGTTTAGGGATTTTGTTGGGTTTAGGGCTTAGGGGTTTTTAGGGTTTTGGGGCTTTTCGGGTTTAGGGTGTCAGGGATTCTTAGGCCATTGCCGCAGGGATTTCCAGGGTTTAGGCCTTAGGGTTTTTAGGGCTTGGGACGTTTTAGGGTTCAGGTATTGGGGCGTTTTCGGTTCGGTTTGGCACGCGCTCTCTGCTAGCCCACCTCAATAAGCTCCGGGCCACAGCCGGAATCCCACTATACTCTACAAAACACATAAGACTCCACAATCTTGAATACTGTGCTGGCCATTCCTGCTCAGGGTTTTTTTGGTTGAGGGCTTGAGCCTTTTTAGTGTTTTTTTAGTGTTTTTTAGGGTTTAGGGTTTACTGTTTAGGGGTTCGGGCTTTTTAGGGTTTAGGATTGGGTTTAGGATTTCTTAGGGTTTAGTTTTGGGGTTTTTTTCTGTTTAGGGTCTTTTTTTCCTCTTTTGGTTTAGGTGCCCAAAGCACCCCGGCGCCCCAAACAAATAAAAAAAACCAACAATAACCGCACACAGTGAGGCGGGGGAACGAAATCCTAGCTACAAACTATGGCCGGCTTCTCCCCCGCTTGTACATCAGGAGCAAAATAGCCGTGATTGCAGCGATTGTGGGAAAGTGCACTCTTGCCTTGGCCATGTCGGCCGCATAATACTGCAGTGGGAGCGTGCCATATGTCCTGGGCAGCCCATTGAAATCGCGAGCTTTAACACCGCAATCGTGGACACCCAGGGAAGCACCCTTCGAAATCCACGTAGTAGATTTGATCAACCTGCAGTCCAACATGTTGTCAAACCTATTCCACAAAACACCACCAGCAACGCTATGACCGCTTAAGCCATCTGAGCTTGCGGCAGGATCTAGGTACAAGTTGATGTCAGATGTCATTGATTGGAGGTCCACACCTGTTGTTGCAAGCGGTTCTGGTCATGAGTCGACAATTGTAGAAAAGAATTGGAAACGGTCTTGCGTTGCTGAAGCCAGTCCGCCACCCTCCTACATACATACACCAAACTTTGTGGCCTCCAGCGAAGCTCTGCTCGAACCGGGCTGGCTGAGCTGCGCCTTCGCTCTGCAACTTGCTGACCTGACCCAAAGTGACTTTTGGACGGGATTGCGGAACTGCACGGTCCATGAGTCCACAGCACGATACCAGCCGCTAGCATGTCAAAGGCAGCGCAGGCCCCGACCAGCCAGCTTTTGCCCGCTGAGGTGGCACCAACGAATCCAATGGCCAGCGCAGACTGCGCGCGATCAGCCTTCAAAAGATGTCAGGATCCGACAATTCAGAGCATCTCGGAGAGATATGCCAGAATATGTCACATGTGTTGCCGTCACGTGGAATGGCTGTGGAATGTACCTCGCGCACATGTCTGGCCCAGTTCTCAGTGGCTGGTGACAGCGTGTACCTCATTGTCAGGCATGCCTGTTTTGAAAGTGTAGCGAAGGCCGCACAAGGGGAATTTACAGCTGCGCACCCAGGCTCCCAAATCTTGGCCTGAGCAATCTTGCAGACCATTGCAAGACCAACTGTTCTTGGGCGGCAAAGCCAAGTCCGCCACGGTCTTAACACCGCACCTTGGCCAGGGATATGAGGGAAAGACTTGTCTGCTGCAAGCTGGAGCCTTGAAGCAGGCTGTGGCAGCGACTCCCATGTAGGCGTCGGCACCAGGTTTAGAAGCCGCTGGCCGCCATCCACCTGCCAGGCGGACAGGGGAGGAGGGGAGGAGGGGAGGAGGGGAGGAGGGGAGGAGGGAGGAGGGGAGGAGGGGAGGAGGGGAGGAGGGGGGAGGGGGGAGGAGGGGAGGAGGGGAGGAGGAGGAGGAGGAGGAGGAGGAGGAGGGGGCGGGGAGGAGGGAAGGAGGGGGAGGAGGGGAGGAGGGGAGGAGGGGAGGAGGGGAGGAGGGGAGGAGGGGAGGAGGGGAGGAGGGGAGGAGGCGGGGGGGGAAGCACCCTTTACCTGCAGGACTCCCTGCAAAGGTCTGCCTCATGTGCTCGGCTGGGCCGTGGCAGCGTCACACTGGGAACGCTTCCCAAGTCCGGAGATGCCTCACATCAACACCCTGTCTTCGCAAGGCACATAGCACCAAAAAGGGGGACCCACGCTTCTGGAACCTGCCATATTCGGACCGCTGCTCTTGCCAACTCCAAACTGCCCTCCGCTCGCGGAGCCGCCGTCCCTCTGTTACAAGCCTTTGTCGCGGAGGGCCGGTTTCATACCCTTTCTTGCGCGGCCTTCTTCAACCCATATTCTTCTAATCCCTAGTCCCTAGTTTTACTATAGCTTGCAAACCTATATGCCTGCTTCTTTGCCAAAACTTTCTTTGCCTGAAAGACCCCAGAAAAATGTTAAAGGTTTAGGCCGGAGGGGTCTAGAGTTGAAGCACGTGTGATTCAGGGCCGTTTCAACGCTTGATCTGCTTTGCTTATCTTTGCTTGGGCATTGTCGGCGGTTTGGACGACTAACTGTTGGGCTGAGCTGTCGCGGGGCTTGTCGCAGGGTTGTCGCGCCTTTTTGCAGGCATTGTCGCGGAATGGCTGAGAAAACCCAGATTATCGAACTCTCGCTCATGTGCTCAAAAACACCTCATTCGCCCGAGATACCAGATGAGTAAGAAGGCCTTGTCGCAGAGGGTTTTGTCCCGGAACGGACCCTTTTGCGGGGGGGAGGAAGGCAAGCCAAACCTTTTGATTGGTCTCTCTTTGCACAAAAGGGTCAATCACAGGGCAAGCCCGCACTCTTGAGCTCAGCTGTGGAGATCAATGGGAACCCTTCGCAAGGTCGTGACAGCTTCGTGGCGCTCCCAGCTTGTGGCACATGATGCTATGGGCTGGGCTGACAACCCATATCCTTCGGCCATGCGCGTCAGGCCTTGCAAGTCACATGAAGCTGGGAACAGTGCATCCGTGTCACATCACCGCAGCTGAGTCCGGGGCGCTCATCTCTGCTGGCCCTAGTAGTGTGAGTGAGTCCTACATGTAATATTGCCTGCTTGCTGTTTTGGATGTTGTCTTCAAATCTCCTTGTCAGCTTGCCCTGTCTACGACATCAAGCGGGCTACAGCAGTGTCCACGAGATGATACCCCAGTCCGAAGGTATACACAGTTGAGAGCTTGCGTGAATAGCAATCTCGGGAAGCAACTGATCTTACCTTGAATGGCGCGGAGTGGCGCAGAGCATCGCAGGGCTAGACTTACTCCAGAGCTGCCCACGACGACACCACGCTATGCACGGTGAGCCTGGCAACATGCCACCTCAACCCCGGTAGACTGCAAGCAAGGGAAGAGCGGTGGGCTTTTGTCTCTCTCCTCTTCATCCCAGCCGAGCTACCGAGATGTAGCGATGAGGATTTAGTCCAGCAGAAGAAGGCCGTTCAGCAAACTCTCAGGCCCACCGCCATCACGAGCCTCGTCATCAGTCACTTAGGCCGGTGCGCAACCCGAGGCTCGCCACTTCTCCTGGAAGCCCCTCTCAGCTTTCCACATGCCGGGCTTGACAGTCGAAGGGGCGGCGGTAGTTGCCTGGTCTTTGGGGTCTTGGGGATCTGGTCATGCAGAACTGTTTGCAGGCGATCGTTCATCATGTCCAAGCTACGAATGTTCTTGGCAATGTCGTCGACGGTGTGACTCGTGCCCAAGCCCTGCAAGAACCAGGCATGCTTGTCGTGTACCCTCCCTGAGACGAGGGTGCCGAGGCCACAACCATCGTGATGAGAATGAATGCCGCTATGACAGTGCACGCAAGGATGTCAATCCTGCAAACATTCAGACCTTTGTGAAGCAAAAGCTCTGGGCTATGCACGCGACTGGTCCAGCTCAATCGTGGTGTCTCCCACGAGTTTAACGACCTCGGGTTCGGCTTTGCTCGCACCACTCTCACACACGAGAGACACCATCAAACTCAACATGGCCGAATATGGCAAGTGTCCAGAAGACTGTCAGAATTCATTCTTGGGCCACAGCCGCGATTCTTGGCCATGCGATGAAGAAGGATCGTCAGCTCTTGAAACCTTGGGCCACACGAAGGCAAGGCACTGGCAGGGCCAAAACCTTTCTGACGACAAGCAATCACAAGACTAACGTCGCGGCCGTCCGGCTCTGCCTTAGCACGGCTGCGCTGCCATATTGAATGAGTGGTGGCTCATCCTACGGCCTTCCATCTCGATCTAGCTCGCCCATCTGGCACTCCCCTGCCCAGGAAGTCTTCAGAACGGGCGTAGACAAACGCTTGCTGTCGCCTTTCTCACACTTCTGTGGCGCAACTCTATGTGCCGCATGCTTGCATCGACAGCAAATTTCGCACTATCGTCACTTAGCGTGAACGACGGTGACCGATCGTGAGCTCCATGGCTTCTGGCACACAACAAAAGCATTGGCGCAATTTCAGAAACCTTCTGGCGCTCTGATGGGCCGTCAAATGCAATCTGGTTGGCTGTCAAGTGCAAGCGATGGAACGCTTCCCTCGACTAGCTTCCCTGGCTCTCTCAGTCTCTTCGATCTCCTTGTGCCAGTTCGGGTTGCCGGGATCCTGAGCAAGGGGAAGCATACTTGCTCGTGTTGTCAAGTTTGGCAGCCCCCGATTGTGCCTAGTAGAGTCGGTGGCTGACCCCGCCTCTCATGTTGATGAGTTGAATTTTGAAGGACTCTTCAGCTACGAGTGTAGAACAAGCTTCTGCCGGCTCGAGGGGGTTCGGGATGGGTTCGGGACTCGGGCTGGCTGCTGCTAGGGAAGAAGTGTGCCTGAAAAACACAGTCGTGACTTCGGCTAAAGAAAGACAGCCATCGCATTGGGAAGCCAAGTTTCCTGCTCCTGGCCCTGGGCGAAAGCACTGATTGCCATGTCAAATCGCTTCAGCCCACGCAGCGCCACTCCACGCCGGAAGAGTGACTTGGGCCAAGCTGGAGCCAATTCCTCACACCTGGTCGCATCATCTAAAGCGGCTCGGAAGTTGCCAGACGCCGCGTAGGCAGCGCTTCGATTGGACAGCAGAGTCTTCGATGTCTCGGCATCCGCCAGCTCCAGGGCTCGCGAATAGAGAGCCGCCGCTGCCTCGAAATCCTGATCCCGGAAAGCCTGGCAGAAGGCACATCTCCAAGCAAACGTGCACTCAAGGGCCTGGCCTAGCACTGAGAGTTTGCGCAAAGCGTTGCGTTCCCGCAAATCTTTGCTTCCTGAAATGCGCCGAAACCGGAGGCCTGAGGCGTTTAGATCCAGGTCTAGGAACGCTGGGAATGGGAAACAACCCCTAGCCGACCAGTGTCCAGCCGCGGACGACTTGCCGGGACCCGGCGGCTGTGTACGCCCCCGAGCCCAGCCAGCACCCCTGCCCCCCCACCGTTGTTCCCCAACCTTCCTGAACCTGCCTAACCGCCCATGAACCCTGCATTAACCTTGATCCCCTTGCCGAGGCACGTTAGCGGTCAAATTTTTCTCCCTTCCCGAGGCACTGCTCCAGGCCTGATCACCTTTGCTCTTCAGCTCGCCCCAGGCAGGCGCCGTGGCTCCGCCGGCCATGGCCCCTCCCGACGAGACATTCAATTGTCAATGGAGGTCACGTCATGGTAGTGGTCCCATCCAATTTTGTACCGAATCAGCTCAAGTTCTGTGGTGTTCTGAGAAGCTCGAACACGTGAGCGGAGTCTGTTGCTTGAGGCCAAAGTGGTCACACATATGCAAAGCATGACTGCCTGGACGCAGAATGCATTATCGAATGTGGGTTTCCAGCCAGAAATCAAGAAGCAGTCGCCTGATCCAACTGACCTGATGGGAGCAGCAGTGGCCTCACAAACGCATATGAGCAATGCCTATGATGCTGTCCGAGCATCCCCTGCACCTTGAGCACGCCAATCCAGAAAGCCTTGAGTGCTGCTCAACCCGACATCACACCCGGACATACCACATGTATCCACATGTGCCTGACCTCTCATATACCGACAGGACCCCGGCAATGGGCAGCAGAAAGGAAATCGGTCCGCTCAGTAAACTCCCTGCACGTATGTCCACATGCCCAACAGTCACGAACTCTCATGACGACATCACGTATATGGCCCAACGGGCAACTTGCTCTCGGCCTATCAACGCCAAGAGGTCTGAAAAAAACCTCGCCCATTACAAGCATCGAGCTTCGCGACCACCAGAAAACGCGCCATGCTCCAACATGATGCTCCGATGTGCTGTGGCTCAACTGCAGCTCAGGATCGGTATTGAGTTTGCAATCAAAGTGCCAGTGATGAATACAAATACCTGGCGCAGTCCGGGATTCAGACAGACAGCGAGGAGTTTGGTCGAACGTGCAGCATGACTCAAGCTACCAACATGCATGAGCGGTGTATGGCGCACCACGCAAGCCGCAAATTCTGCCTGCGCTCGGATGCCTCCGGGCCTCTTCTCGCAGAACTTTGCAACCCCCGGGGTCTTACTCATCCCTGGTCTCGAAAAGCTGGAATGTACCAACTGTGCGTTTGAGGTCACGGCTCTCGAAAGCCCACGTCTACCCTGCTGGGAGAAAGACGCATATGAAGCGCACCTTTCCCCGACAGGTTCTCAACAAAGCACGACTAAGCACGACTCAGTGAAGCGAGAGGTTCGTCCAAGGTCTCTAAGGCTAGCACGCGAAATCACCACATTCTTCACAAGAAAGGCAATCGCCACATGCAGAAAAAGCAGAATGGATGCCTGGCTTGGTGAACTGCCATTGCCATCGTCCGGGCCAGCTAAAAGACACATGGAAGCAGTGCCCAGCGGTAGGGTTCTCCATCAGGCAAATTGTCCAGAAAATACCCTTCGGCCTACGGAACACAGGCACCACTGATTGCCAAGCAGCTGTCCTATCCAACCTTGTCACCAGCGAAGTGATAGCCTTACAGTCACAGGCCAGTCATGATGTCATGTAGTCTCGTGAAAACATGACTGGTTTGGAAACGCTCTGATTTTTGAAGCGCAAGCTTCCGAAGCCATCTTCCTGTGCGACGTCGGAAGAGAAACATGCTCAGGACGACTGGTGACTAGGGGCATCTCAGGCAGCACGTGAAGCAGGTGGCCCGGGCAGCCCCTCGACTTTTCAATGTCGCTAACCCTCTTGCTTGCGCGTCGTCTAGGCGATATATGGAGTTCTCGACGCACTCAATCATACTCGGACACATCAAACCGTTTCAGGACACCACAGACTACCACACGGCCGACGCGTGTTTTAGCACGGGCAGTGCCCGTGCAAGATGCAAGCTGCCCGCCGAACAGCTCACAGCTACGACTGGGTCCAGGGTGTTGGCACAGCCTGATGGTGACGGCTTGCAGATGGTGCCTCGCCGGATTAGCAGCGGAGGGCTCGGTGCAATGGTCTGAGAGGGTTCTCCTTTGGTCTACCCTGGCTCTTGCGACTCGTCCGTGCTGGCAGTGACAATGCAGTGACAGAATAGAAGGCGGAGGTTTGCTACAAGGGCTTCGCGGTGGTCGTTCCTGAGACGGGAAGCGCTGGGGCTGCCTCGCCTCCTAAGACTCCTAGACTGCTTTGAGACGAGTCGTGTCGGGGCCACCCGCTGGAAGTCAGACCTCTCCGAGCTTTTCTCTAGCACTTCTTTCTCTTCTTGAGCTTCTGGGATTGCATCCCTAAACAAGGATCCTCATCTCATTCAGCTCTAGCTTCTCCTCTGCTATGGCTGCAGCTTAAGGCTGCAACAAAGAAATCCAACTGCCTACTCCGAGTTCGCCCAAAACCTTACCCAAATCGATGACCCGAAGCGAACTTTCAGCACCATTTCTTCACACAAAGTCGCCCTGCGATAGTTTTATGTGACTACGTTGTTCTTGTCCACAAAACGCACAAACCACACAGGCGCAGTAGGCTTAGACAGGTCGCTGACTTGGCACAATTAGACATCCCACAGCTGTCTGCCCAGGCATCTCTTGAGCTTCTGGCCCCAGCATGCCACCAGCAAATAAAGAAACACCTACGAAGGCGGTCATGCTGCTTGCTGACATCTCTCTCAAACTTTCAGAACCGCCTGCCTGGAGAGGTGCATTGATGAGGAAAACCAGAGGAAAGTGCTCTGGCCTTTGAGCAGAAAGGAATGCCATGATACACCGCATCATTGGAACGTCGGAAACCTAGGCAACTGACGTCTGCATGTCCGCCATCAGCTCGAAGTAAAGCCAGTGGCCTGCCACGAGCCAGGCATACTTGCTCAAAGGAATATCCAAGCTTGAAACTGGGCTTGGTAGATATTCCGGCATAGATAGAAGTATGCAGGAGCTTCAACCCGCAAGATCCCAAAGGCTAGGACCTGTATAGGAGTAGACAATGTTGGAGGCTGCACCAAATGCCTGCACAGAACCGCACGACAGGATGCACGTGCTAGCGGCCCGCGGTGGCAGATGTGCCCAAGCGCACACTCCAGAAAGTGAGATCTTCTGCGAAGGCAAAGGTGTGGACATTCGACGGTCGCCTCGAAAGCAAGCTGCCATCCTACAAGCTTTGAAAGGTCTCAATGCTCGGGCTGACCCCTCGAAGTACATCTTTGCCATGACCTGGCTCTTTCAAGTGGATGTCATGTCTGGGGCCCACTTTGACTGCTTCATTCAATAACTTTTGAAGTCGTTCTTGGGCCCAAGCAATGGCAAGAACTGCCACGATGAGGAACAGATTAATGAAGCAAAGGACAACCTGAGTCAGACTCCGTTCTGCGACTGCGGTGGGCTTGCCAGAGAGGCCGGGACCGAATCAGAGAGGTGCCTCACCGACACCGCGATGGGAAGGCCTCGGTAAGCAGGACTCAGTGGTGAGGGGCCTGCTACGTAACCACACTGCTTCGGCCATGATCGATCATTCCCCCTTCCACGTCCCACAACCTCCGTCTATGCTTCCGGCACAGGAGGCAGGCTATCGCGGTGGCCGTCGGAAGGCAAAGCTCGCTTTGAAAGAACACCCCCTATAGCACAAGATTCACATTTCGAAGGAGTGTCCGCTCGATTCGACCATTGACAAGCCTGCAAGCACTGCCCCAGGACAAGAATGTAGGAACTCTGGCCTGCCATGGGACCGACTCAGGAGAAGTTGCGCAAAAGCATTCTGGCAAGCCAGCTTAGTTTGCTTGGGCAGACGTGGCACGGCGACCCAGATATCCGAAGCCGTAGACAGCCAGGTATGTGGCGGCAGCAGCTTTGTCTCCGCCTAATGTCAACCTGGCAGCCTCGCACCAGCTCCCGTGCTGCGGAGGTATTGTGCTGTACCAACAGCGGCTCAAGCATTGTGCCTCCCCCATGCTCTCCGGTCGCTTGCCTAGCTAATTGAGCTCTCGGGGGACAAACAGACTAGCGGTGACTAGCGCTGTTCAAAATTCAAAATCAGCGCAGCCTCCAGGCAGCTTGGCCAGTGTGCTCCCAGTCCTCCACAGGCAGGCGCCGATTCTGCTCGACCATGGCCGACTTACTTACTGAGTCGAATCTCCATGGGCAACAGCTTCCTGGACATCAGCAGCGCTGAGTAGATGGACACAGGGGCCAGGCAAACTATGAACAGGATAGTCCACACCTGGCGTCTTTCTACACACGGGCCCTGTGGGTCAAGAGGTATGACACGTTGTGTTGTACAGTGTATTGTGCAGTCCGACCCAGCCCAGCTGTCGAGCAACACCTGCAAAAGTCAGCACCTGAAGCTTCAGGGCGCAAGTTGAAAGGGGCCAAGAAAGGTCTGATCACTTCTGACGAAGCACAGAACCCAGAACCCCCCATGCTAAGCTAAGTCCGGGACAGAGGTGCCCACAATGTCTGTGAGCATGATCCAACTTGTACCTGGCAACCAACCCCAGAGGCCAACAAGTTGACATTTGACCCTTCAGATCCTTCAATGGCGCAGCCGTCTCCCCCCTTTACACTCCACTCGGCCAGACGACCCGGCGAGAAGCCCCGCTCACATGCTAATGCGCCGGCAAAAGGTGTCGAAAGAATGTATGCTTCATTTCTTGCTGCACGGGGTCACCCAGCCAATGACTGCCTCGATGGGCCGACTGCGTAGAGACGAAGGACAAGGACATCCTGAGCACAACTCCTCATGCGGATTGCCCAAGTACACAGCTGTGAAAAAGTGCCGGGAGCGCCTGTTGATGAGTCAGCAATCCAAACGGCCGGACCAAAGCTTCGTTTCTGCATTAATTGGGCAGCTCTCCATGACCTTTCAATGTTCTGCGCTTTTCACATGCGAACATCGACCTAACTGTGTTGGACCGCCGTGTTGCATTTGGGCATCTGTTGCTTGCTGGTTTGCCACCTCTAGAGGCTCTACTGCGGCTCTGGCGGACTCTAGCGGCTCGGCAAATGCCTGCGGATGCCAAAGACATTGTCCGATCGATGTGCGAGTGCTCAAAAGGGGGCGGCACTTTGTCAACGATGTGGGCGATCTTTTTGCTTGTTTTCTGTCTGCAGTATCTTCCGCAAATCCTTTGCAAGTCCTTCCGCCACGTCGGTCGGGAAGCTGCCTTCTGCCTACCAGTACGATGGCAGTGAGCACTGCGTTGCAGTACGAAGAGCTCCGTGAACATGCAAGAACGTCAGCAGGCATCAGAGCACATCCGGATACATCCATCATGCTTTTGAGGTCGAATTGCAGATCTGGGGCAACGCAGCCTGCTGCGCGCATGCTTTGCAGAAGCGGAGTTTGTAAAACCTCGGCGTTGCCACGACAACTTGTTTGGCACCTGAACCCTCCGCAACCCCCAATCTCAGGGTCTGCACACGGAACACTTGTCGTCAACGCAGACGGGAGAAGCGCATACACTGCAAAGGGCTCCCAAGCAAATGCTTCGAACCTTCAGCCGCTCAGCTGTGAGAGAGAGCGGGAGAGAACAAGTCTCTCAAAGTCTTCCGTGCAACGTGCAAGCTTTAAATCTTCGCGGCTCTTTAGCAGTCTCAGCCACGCGCGGACCCATATTCTGCCGGAGACCTTCATCTCACAAAACTGAAGAGAACATATACGGAAGCTGGCTCCTGACGATTTGTCAGGAAATCTGAGTGGGGACCCAGCACTCCGACATGCGCATCGTTGTCTTACAGACGAGCACCGCTAAAGGATCACGTAGCAGGTGAGGTGGCCCCACAGTAATTACTTAACCGATCAACGCCGACTACCGACCATAACATCAAGCTCCCCGCGGATTCTCCAATGCAAAAATGTCCTCCACCCACCTGTCCAAGCACGTGAAAGCCAGTTCGGTGCAATCCTGATAACAAATTCCCGAACTGCCTGACAGCTTGGTGCTCAAACGGTGGACTCTTGCCAAAGTAATCATAGCCTCTGTCGGCACACATCCCAGGAAAGTCATGGAAAGTCGACACATTCTGCGGGTAACACTTGCTGATCTTGGCGCTCAGTTGCCAGCGGCATCTGAAGCTGCAAACCGAACAAACAAAGTCGCCTCTTTGCTTTGGAGGCATGCTGGCTGTGTGCTTGAGCTGCTGAATCTTGCTTGTGATCTGACAATCTGCCAGTTGCTTCTCACTTGGGCTCTCTCTCTCCGCCCGTCGCCCGTCCTGCTAAAACTGCTAAATCCTGCTGCCTGGCTTCCTTGCTGAAAGCAGCAGAGCTCTGCAGAACTCGATCTGCAAGTATTGAAACAACTGTCAACTGCAACACAAACGATGTCCGAAACATGCCATTGGAGAGGTTGCACGATTTTTCTCTCTTGGGACTGCACGCCGGTCAGGTGCCACGCGCTGCCTTTGGCGATCTAGCTGCTCGTCTTTTCAGCTTCTTGACGTTCGGGGCAGTTGACGCAGTTGGTGATGGCCCTCCGAGAATGGTCTCAAGCAACATGGCCATGGCATCTGCAGAAGAGCTGTCCTCTGCGGGACGACGGGCAGATGCAGGGCCGTGTGAACTGGCAACCTCCTCGGGGCCCTCGTCAGAGGAGGGAAGCTCTTCCATGCCAGCATCTGCAGCGTCGAAGCCCAATGCCTCAAATATCCTACGTTCCTCCTTCCTCCTTTTGGCTGGATCCCGGGCGATGCCCAAATTCTTCTCGAGCTTGCGCATCAGAGCCTCGTCTCGAGCTGCACCTTCTGGGTCGAACAAAGCTGCCGTCTGGCTTGCCTGCGTACCCTTAACAGCTCTGCCAGTCTCTTTGGCTTCTGCTTTTGCTTTCTTGGCTGCTGGAAGAACTTTCCTTGCTCGCCGTTTTTTTGCGGAAGGAGGGGGTGAATCCGCAACCTCCACAGGAGGCTGAATAGGCTGGATGTTTTTCTTGTCAGCGCGCGCCTGCTCCCGATCTGATCTGGCATCCTTTGCTTCCTGCTCTCGGCTCGCCTTCTGGGCCTTTTGGACCTTGCGCTTATTTTGTGCGCGTCTGCGAGCTGCTCGCCCGGTTTCCTTGGGCTTGCTCCCAGGCACCTGCTCCGGCAGCTCCGGCGCATGTCGGAGAAGCGATGCCAAGTGGTTGGGCAGTCCTCGACCCATGGCTGCGCAGGACTCGTGATACTCTGCTAGCGAGGTGGTATGGGCTGTGGGTTACTGGATGCAGGGGAGATAGGCTGCATGGACCGTGGTGGTCTCAGAAGGCTCAGAAGGTCTCAGACAAGCTGGATCAAGGGCCGCGGGCCAGAATCAATGCTTTGCAGATTTGGCCGGCAAGGAGCAGCATGCGCAAGTAACATCAAGAAAATGACCAGTTGTGTTTACCTGCAGCGGGGTCAGTCTCTTCTGGACCGCACCAGTCCCCTTAGATCATGCACTGCAGCTGCTTCATAGAGCAGTGTGGGAGCCACTACTGGCAAGGAGTGAACCAGAGAATGCATAGAAAGCTCGGCGGCTCAGCCTCTGCAAGTGGCCGTGGCCTTCCGGCCAGCGCTTCCATCACACCTTTGGAGGTGGAACGTCTGCCGCATCGTCCACTCGAATTTCGGCTCCATCACCGATGCCTCTCTTCACAGGTCGTGCTCGGTCATGCTAGGAAGACTCAAGATAGCCACAGTGACTGCGTGGAGCAGCAGAAAGGCTCTGGCCAAAGAAGCCAAGCTCCCTGGCCTCATCATCAAGAGGCACCTGTTTCGAGGGCAGCGCATCCCACATTCCTACTGAGTCGGCCCCCAAGTTTCTCAAGGGACTGACCCCGAAAGGAAGGCCATCATCCGCCAAAGTCAAGACCAATCTGTCCAAGGGCACCTGCATGCAGCTCATGCCGCTGCGCCAGTCCAGTGGTGAACAGAATAGAAAGCACATCAAAAGAATTCAAGGGCTTCAAGCACTGACTTCCGGACCACTATTGCAAAATGTTGGGAATCGGCGACTGCAGTCGCAAGTTCTTGTCTGTCCAGAGGCCTGCTTGAAGAGAAGCTGTGCCAGTCTCTTCAGCTCCCCCACCGTCATGGTGTGAGGCACCTCATCTCCGCATCAAGTCGAACAAAGCCCGGAGTGATGTGCAAGACATGTGCAAGCATGTAGCGTGTGCGCAGAAGACCTAGGCCGGAGGTTGTCCGCAGGGGGGCCTTCTTTCGCGCGACAGGCTTCTCCACAATTGCTGCACCAACAGGCCGCAAGGCGACCTGGCAGAACTGCCGGGTTTTCGTCGCACCCCAAAAACTTCACAAGAACTTGCACTGGTGCTGCCTCTACAAGTGCATTGGACAATGCAGATCGCGAGGCTTGCGAGTGTTCAGTGATGTCACCACCGACCTAAGAAGATGCGAGCTGTAGGCTGGAGCGTGCCGAAACGACACGACTTGGACCCAAGGCAACCGTGCCATGTATTGCACGCAGCCTTTCAACCTCGTGGTGCCCAACTTGCGATAGAACTTTTGATTGCAAAGCATCGGAAGCAACTTCCAGGTGCGAAGCGTGGTCTGCGATGTTGCAAGACTCTGCAAGACCCTTTACCTCACCAGCGATGGAAGGGTCGAGAGCTGTGCTTCGAAGCAAGTCACGAAAATTGCGGGGAAAAAACTCAGAGGCCAAACCAGAGGGCTGTCAGTTTGATGCGCAATCGAGAGGAAATACCTCGAAAGGGACATGGGGAGTTGTCCTACTACTGTTGCCTATTTGCACTCTGTACAAGGAACCACCGGCCTCTCTGCAGCAGTCCTCTCCTGCACAGCAGCACAAGAAATGAGGCCCCTGCACACACACAAACAAACACCACTATGTGCAACACTCCAGCACTCCAAACCGAGTCTCCTTCACAGTCACCTCAGACGCGTTGAGCCGCATGAGTGTCGGCATGAGAGCAATCAGAACCTTGCGCGAGACTCATCGTAGATTGAGAAAGCGCTGAAACGCCCGGCCTGTCGCAGAAGCATGGGGGAAGCAAGCGGCGATCCCGAGTCTGTGAGAGGTATCCGTTGCACCTGACAGGTCTACGCAAGGCTGCGCTTCGAATGTGGCTTCCACGGCTTCCCAAACATTCCCAAAAAGGCGCCTTCAGCTCCAGGAGGGCATAGCTGGCCAATGCACCAATGCTCCTCCAGGATGCCTGAACGATGCCCAAGACATCCCCAAAAACCCGAGGCCAAAGGACTCACATAGCAGCTACAGTACTTCGTCACTGGTAGAAACACTTGGAAAGCACCGCATTAATCGCATGTCTCAATGAATGGCTAGCAGAGTTGCAAGCTTGTTCTCGTTCAGGAACAAGGCCTTGAAAAATCCATGCATCACAGACTAAATACGTAGCGTTAAGCTGGTTTGCTCTTACTCAGGCTTGCACTGTTAGGCGTCTCGGTGTCTGGTCGGCCGCAGCTTGCGCCAGACCCTCAATGCCTTCAGCTGCATTCGACACAAGCTCCGCCTAAGCTCTCAGGACTTTCCAGCAAACGTCTAGGCTTGCAGGCTTTCCCCAAGCAGGTTGGCGTTGAGGTGCAGGGCCTAACGCAAAGAACCATACGGAATATGCTGGTGTCGTGAAAGAGTGATGCACGGCCTGCAGCGAGGGAAAGGCAGCAATCGCACGCCGCCTTAGCACGATGTCTTCCCACAGGTGGCGAAACCCACTCAGGGAGCGACAAAGATGCTGACAGAACCGTCCAATCGGCAATTCGGTTGTTGTCCAAAACCTGGAGTGCAAATGCTGGCCAATTCCGCACTTCAGCATTGCATGCCAAGGCAGCCCTAATTCCAGAGCATTCGTGCGTCGTGAGGCAAAAGCCAGCGACTGCAGCCTCTGCAAGGGGCGCACACGCGCTTCATCCTGCCAGGTACAGGTACAACTCACGATCCAGCTGATTCAGCCGCCAGTCCGCTCCAGCGAGCCACAAATAGACCTGTGCTCAAAATTGGCGGAGGTTTTCTTCTTTGTTGCACCGAGCCATCTGCACCTAAAGAGCAGGAGGGGCGCGCAGGAGCTGCCAATTGCAGCTTCTGCTATGGCGCAAAAGTCTTTGGCAGGGGCTCAAACGAGCTTAACTTCACACTGGTTCTGGAATCAAACGCCAGCATCCTCACGACGCTGAGGCTTCCTGAGGTATTCCCAGCTTGCTCCAGCAAAAGTTCCCACAGAACCAAGCTGCTATTCAAGCTGCAATTCCCAGTGACTCCAAGGCTCACAAGCGCGCAGCAGGCCAGCTGACTCTCGCACTGTTTGACTGGAGCAGCGTGGCAGCCTGCTCAACCATCCTCAGGGCGCTTCGACGTAGCTAACGCAGCAGCTCCTAAAAACATGTTTGGCCTGGGCACTAGTCGCACTAGCCTAAGAGCTGTTGCCGAGGTTCTGCTCAACAATAGTCTTAGCAGGCAGGATGTCGCTGATCATGCCGGCAACTTGCCCGCAAAGCCATGGGTGGCCTGCTATTTGAAATTTGAACATTCTGGAGTTGTTTGTGAGCGTGTACAACTAGCCAGCCAGGGACAAGGCCTGCGTCAAGACCCACTGGGACAGGCACGTCCTGCTTCAGGCCTGGAAGGCTCAGACCGTCTCAGTCTTTCTTGCCAATATCAAATTCTGAGGTGGACAGTCATCAATTTCTCAGGTGGTGCCTTTAGCCTTCTCTTCCATGAGCTGCACATCTTTCGTGTACGGAATGATGCCTCCCTTCAAGCAGTCTTTCATCTCCTTGCCGCGGTCCTCCTCCCAGCCTGGCACAGTTGATGCGACATGTGATGCTTTGCTCACTTTGCGATTGCAATGCGCAGAATGTGTGCAAACAGCACATGTGCCGAATTGCAGATGCGGGAGTCCGACCCTGGCTCACATACAGGCGAGCTGCTGACCGAATACTTGTTCTTGATGATTCGCATCGGACGGCCAGTGTAAATCTCTGTTCGGTGGGTGTCATGCACGCTGGCCTTGACAAGATCCTCAGCTTACAGTTTCATGTTCATATGTCGACTCATCACTTTCCAGAAACGATCAGCACGAAAACCTTCGCATGCAGGGCAAGTGGCATCCTTGTGCCCTTGGGGCGCACCACCCTCTACTGAGGCAACGAAGCGCGTTCCAACCCAAACACCGTCTGCACCCAGCGCAAGTGCCATTGCAAGGTGGCGGCCGTCCTTGGTCGCAGCTGGCCTCTCAGGACCTCTCATGGGCACCTACCTCTCACGATCTACTAAGGCCGGCACTGCGATGCCGCCGGCAGCTACGACTGGCACTTGCTTGCCAGTTAGCGGAGACTTGTGGCCCTTGCACAGGTCCACCACCATGGGGATCAAAATGCCTCCAGAGATGTCAAGAGTCATGCAGGGGTACTGCTGCACAACTGGGCCACAGAACAACAAGCAAGGAATACATGCCAATGCATCAACACTACTGCATGAAGAGCAGCTGCGCAGTTGTGACGCACATCGTGCAAGACAGGCCTGTGGCAACGTCTCCTGTGTGGCCGCCACCTTCACCGCCTTGTGCACAAATAATGTCGACGCCTGCTTCCAGGGCCTTTTGCACGTGCTTCGGGGCTCCGATCCTCGGACTCTGAAGCCCGAAGCACCAAAGGAGCAGTGCTCACGCAAACAAGGGCAAACTGAAGCCAACCAATAGAAAGACTGCTCTGAGGCATTTTCGCCGGCGCTTGTGTGCTTTGAGCCACGGCCTTGAAGGCCAAGACTCACGGCTCCCCAGGCTCGATGGCTACTCTGGCCGCACAAAGGCAAATTGTTAAAATAATTGGAAGAGTCGGAAGGGTTTTGCAATCTAGATGCGGCCAGGCAAAAAAACAAAAGATTGGCACACAGGCAAGTTATTTACAGCAAACGAGCTGTACCCTGACTCACACGCAAACCGACCCGTAACCCAGCACGCTCCCACTGCGCCAGCACAGACGAAACTTCAAGAGTATGCGCAGACACGCGCGACGGCTAAATAGTGGGGCAGCAGAGTCTGGAGTCGATGGCCTGACAAACACGCCACCCCGGCGGCCCGTCATCCAGACAGCCGCGGTGGGCATCCCATGATGGGTTTGGAGCGGCCAGCACAAAAGCGGACTAGAAGCTGCAGATTACGGGCAGATTTGCATGAACAGAAGCGGCGAGCATCATCGCAGACAGCAGGTTCAGGCGAGCAACGCATGACCCCTCTGGCAAAACCTAGCATTCGTACACGCTCGCAACAGAGCAGGCCGATCACCAGACAGAATTTTAAGCAAACGCCGAACAGGCGAGCCGCTGAAAGCTGGGGCTTAAGGTGACGCCTCGCGGGCCCTAACGGCAAAGGCAAAGGAGTCGCGCACCTTTCGCATGGGCTGAGGACGCAAAGAGGCAGAGACACTTTCACTTGAAAGCTCAAAAGTTGTCACTGGTGCCCCCACATCAACTCTGCATCCACTTGTCAGCTTGAGCCAAAATGGCTACTATCCTTGCACCGCATGGCGAGAAGAAACAGGAAACTGCAGCTTCCCGAAAGCGTACCGCCATCAACCAAGGGGCATGTTCATGACAGGAATGCCCGCAGCATGTAGCTTGTCCACTGCGTACTTGGGAGGCACGCCGACAGCACTCACAAAGAGCTTGGCCCCCATCCTTCCAAATGGCTTTTTGAGGCTGTTGGGGGCAAACTCCAGCTTGACATGAGAAGAGTCCCGCCGATATGACACATCTTCTAGATCAAGCTGCCAAGGCTCTCGATGGTGATATCGATGAGTTCTGGCAGATCCCCTTTGGTGTAGTCGTAGTTTGTGGCACGGGCGTTTCCTCCCACCTGAGGAATCAACAGATCGACCTCGGTCGCATGCAGTAAGAGTTCGAACATCTGTGGCTACCTAAACAAATCCTAAAAAAACTCGATGTTGCTCAACTTGGCTCAACCTCAGTGGGGATTGAAGACAGTGGGGATTGCAGGCTGGCCACCCCAAAAGGTGCGTTCGGGTCCTTCAGGTTCTCCTTCAGCTCTTTGATCTTGGCCCGAAACATCTTCGGTGTGTAGTTGACCTGAGCAAATTGCACATGGCATGGTATCAACAGACTCACAGCCACAAGCTATAGAAAGCTTGACGTTAAAACCCAAATCCCAAGATTGAAGAAATTGAAGCCAAGGCTCCCCACCCCAAACTCCCATCCCGCCTGCATTGGTGACCTGAGGTCAAGCTGTGCCACACGCCTAATCTCCGGCGCACGCTCAAGCTGGCAAGAGGTGGTTAGATGTCGAGGCATGGAGCAGCGGCGGCAAGCTCAGGACTGGCAGCAATGTTCATACCTGCGGCTTGCAAGAACATCTGTATGATTCCGGGCCAATGCTTGCACCACTTGGCCAGCTGTCCCTGAAGTGTAAGCATCCCGCCAGCCAGGATTACCGGGTGTTGGATGCCAAACATCTCGGTGATGGGAGTGTTGATCTTTGGAACGGATGCCATGGTCGCGATGGTCTGCTTGCTGCAGCAGCAGGCACAGAAACCACAGGAAAAGAGATTATGTTGGTCCCGCTGAGAGCCAATCAAATCCTAGCGGGTAGAATGGCGGACAGGGACTCCCTAAGCATGTAGGACATGACAGCGACCTTCAGCCACAGCGGCACGTGCCTCTACATCGCCAATTGTGTGTGGGATGCCCTGGTGGCACAGATCTTATACTGTTCAAGCGTGCAAAGGCCGCGTCATCCGCCTGTTCTATTCCATTTAATTACTGCCATCATCATCTGTCATCCTTCTCAGCATGAACCACTCGAAACCTCCTGCATGTCGCACCTCCTCCAAAGAATTTTGCGAAAGATGCAGGTGCTCCAACTGCGGGAAGAGGCCTGCACAGTGCCACCCTTGCCCTTGCCGGCCCTTGCCCACCTACTTCGATCAAGGGTCAACAGCAGTATCCGCATTATTTGCATTATTTGGCAAATGCTGTCCGCTCTGGTTCCTGTTCTGTAAACACGAGTCGGCAGAAACTTCACAAGAGGCACTTTCAAAGCATACTGTGGCTCACTGTCATCATTGGACGCGAGCGATGGGCCATCGCAGCGAAGGCCTGTCTGACAAAGCTACAGAGTATCCCAGTCCGGACTTCGAGTGTAACTTGAGCTTGCTGAGCGTTGTTCACGTGCTCGCTCACGGCGAGTACCATTGCTGTCACTATCATTGCTTGTGTCACTGTCTTCTATTGAAATGTCTTCCGCTTCCTCCGTGACATCTGTCCCCGGCCAGTGTGAGTTGGGGAACTCCATCACTCGCGTTGACACATCAGCACAGCGAGCGGCATAACGCGACCCATAGACAGGCTGCAAGTTGTGGTGAGCTTTCAGGTCCAGGCAAAACGGCTTGCAACCAAAATTGAAGCACAGTTCAAAAGGTGTGTCAATCCCTACACATGGAAAGAAGCGAGGCTCAACAGTTGCGAAAACCGGGAAGCACACACCCAAAAACTCACCGTTCAGCGCAAAGAAGATGCCAAAATGACCAGGCGCATCCAGCCTGCAAACTCCGCAGCCGATGACATCTCCAACACTGAACTTCGGGATCTTCGCTGTCTTAGCTTGCTCTTGGTGCTTTCCTGCTGCAGCCCCTGCAACCTGCGTGGAATCGCTCTGTGAAATCCAAATTGGCTGGAACCGTTGGCCCTGGCCATGCCCGTGATACATCTGGCCATCGTCGCCGTGCAGTGCCCAGCTGTGTGGGTTCCAACCTGCCTGCTGTCGACACAAGCCTCGCAAAGGAATTGTTGCCAGCGCTAGGCCGATGGACACGCAATGCCCTCCGGGCAGCTCTCGGACAGGACGAGCTCTTTCGATCGCTGCGTGTCGAATTTCGACTTCGTAATACGCACAAGACCGCCGGTCAACGCACCATCGCCACACAGGTCTCGACGGTCGCGAGCTCACCTCAGACCTCCCGTTTGGGAGCTGAGGCCGAGAATCTACTGCGCAGGCCGTTGCTGCTCCTTGCCAGGCCAATGGGTACTTTGCCATAACACAGCGATCACCACCGAGAGGACTCTGCAGGTGGCAACAAGTAAACCTGCCGAAGTCATCTGCCGAGATGCCGAGTTCTCGCAAGAGGTTTGCGACGTGAATCTCAGGGGTTGCACGTGCGTCTGGCAGCATGGGAAATCTAAAGTCTCCCAAGTCGTGGCGTAGTTCGTTTCCTGCTGTTGTGCACAAGGATCCGGGGTGCAGTCGGGCAGCAGGGGAGTGATTCGCTTCTGTCGCCAGCTCAGGGTTCCCTTCACTATCTGAGTCAAGATCGTTTCGCTCAAACTCTTCCGTCATCCTCCGACTTTCGCAGGAAGGTCCAACAAGGTCAAGAAACAGGTGCTTCCAACGTCGTTGGGAGGATAGGTTTGCCACAAATGAACATTCCTCTGAGCCGGCAGGCTTCTGCAGTGGTTGTCCACTCGTGCTGGCATCAAATCGAAGCTCGATAGTGTAGGAACCCTCAGCATTGATGAAATGCTCCAGATGGCATCTGCAGATGCCTGACCAATAAACCTCAACGAATCTGGTGTTGAGAAAAGGCCCCCTGTTCGCGCTCTGCAGCTTCAAGAAGCTGCCGGGATCCAGAAAGACCGTCCAGTCTGGGGGCAGCGCCTCAAAAACATTAAGAGAGTCCATTGCAGCCTGAGCTTCGTCTGGCCATGTTGATGCACAGCCAAGAGGCCTAGAGTCCTAGAGCCATCCAGAGCTCAAGCGCCGCATGAGTCTACCTTGGTTTTTTCGCCTACGCTGGCCTACACGTGCCTCAGCCTCCCGGGCTGTATCGCAAGTGTTCCTTGAGTTCATCTGCAACAATTGTCAGGTCGAGGGCTGGGGAACGATAAGTTCGTGGTGCCCGTGACTCCACAGCCTGGGGTTCGGGTGTTGTTTTTTGGCCCTCCTGGTCCTTCCACGCCCCGCCGCTCAGTGCTTTCAGGGCTTGCCACCCTGTTTCCAGGCACGCTTGTTACCTCTTGTTTCTCTTAGTCTTAGGATTTGCGGGCATGTGTTTAAATTTACGCCGAGCTTGGGTGCTCCTTCAGAATGTCGTCTCTCTGGCGGCACGCTCTCCTTTCGGGATTGCTTTGTGGGCTGGGGATCTCTGGCTTCCTGGATACATGGCCCAGACACAAAGAACTTCATCACCACAATGTGCGAACCAACCGACAAAACCTCAAGCAACCAGCTCCCTGCAATATTGCGCACCTCAATCCCAACCCAGACAAGCACTTCCTTTTCGGCTTTGTTTGACAGCTGCGAAGCTGTCTCGCAGCACTGGTTAAAGCTTCAGGCTTTTCAGAGTTTCGGGACTGGCATTAACAAAAATTCAGAAGCCAAGCCTAGGCAATCAAAGCCCTTTCCCTGCCCTGCCGTCCCGCCTAGTGAGTCCACAGCAAGCATATCCGTCCAGGTCTCGGCATTCAACAACCAACGCATCGAACACAGGAACTACAAGACAGGCAGACTGCTTGGTGCTTGGCGATCCCTGTGCCATTCAAGATCAACGTCCGCACTTTGCATACGAACGGTTTGAACACCAACCGATCTGACATACCTTAGACGGCAATGCCAAAGCCGCCACTTGGTGACTGCCCAAATGCACCCGAGGCCAGGGCCGTTCGGTTCATGAGCAGGTGGAGGCAACGCCCCTGGCTTACAAGACTTCAGCCGCGTCCTGCGTGACGAGCCGCACACGCGAGCGAAACACGTCCTTATTCGACCCTTGCAGCGCACTACTCGTGCAGCTTTGAATGATGTAAGAATCTGTCAGTCAGTCTGTGCAAGTGTATGAGTACGTGTGGACGTGTGCATGTGTGGATGTGTTGCAACCTGGTTTGGCCTGTGTGTCTGTCTGACTCTCTGACTGTCTGAGCGTTTGCCAATGTGATTGTTGGCCTGTCGGTCTGCATGCGCGCGTATTTCTTTATAGAGGTGCAGATTCACGACACAAGCATAGCGACTCGCCTGAACGCAACCGTTTACGCACTCGCAAAATATATTTAGGAGTCCTTTACCGTCACCCCAGCATCAAATACGAACCCTACTTCACAGGCGTCTGTCGGAGTGCTTTCAATCACTCAATCACAGCATCCAGCCGACAATTCTTCACCAGTCCTTGACAGCGAAAGCCACTCCAGGTTGGGGCACAGCTCGCAAATCGCGGCTATGTCAGCCCACTCGCAGATCAAGGTTTTGTCCTCGGTGCAAGGCCCTCAGTGCAGCCCAGCTTCTACATATGCATCTGCGAAGGGCTCAGCCGACTGCTAGCCAGAGACTTTTCAAATTGGGCAAGCTCCTGACAACACGCTTCTTCTGTCTTGGTGTTTGCAGGCTTGCAGACTAGGCAGGTCATAGCCGGTCCAGTCACCCGACCAGATCTCATCGGGGTAGCGAGAAGCGAGGGCACTCTCTGCTAAAGACATCCTGCACATTCAAAGGGCGGTACCCGACCAAGCGGCATCTAGGTGGCGTTCGAAAGCCTTTGAGGCTCTGACTCGACGAATCCTTCCAGGCGCTGCTGTCGCTGCTCGATGTCATAGCGGCCAACAAATCTGCCAAGACTGTCCGGCTGCAGGCCAAAAAAAGAAACGAAAAAACAACTGCCGCAACTTCGCATCCATGCAAAGACCAACACCAAGGACGCCAAAGCGAGGCCAGCTGGCTCCACTGACATGGCTTTCTCCCTGCCCTCTCGGCACAACAAAATGAGCAATGGCAGCCACGAGGTGCACACAACTTACTAGCGATTCAATTTCGATTCCATTCAAGTCATCTCTTTTTGCACCTTGGAGTCCATGTACTCCATGGCATCCAGCGTCTCTTGCCGTGTGCTCTTTTTGGCTGCCTGCAGCCATGGTTGGCGTCGACGTTCGGAGCGCCAGCGCATGCATGCGCACTCACCCGCTTACACAGATGGGTTGCATGTAGCGTGGGGTCCCACATGAAGATACAAACAATGCTCTAGCATGACACTGTCTATGGCCTCTGGCAGAGCTGCAGCAAAGTACTTCTCAGCAATGGCACGCCTTGGCTACGGGACGGAATGAAAGCCAGTCCATCCTGTGCGTTTTGGAGGCCGCGTCGACAAACTCTTCCCGCAGATGCCAATAGCAGCCGTTTGCAGAAAAGACACTGAATCGGCATCCCAAGTTCAAGCTTCTCCACCTAGGACAGATTATGGAACTGCATTTGCATCATGTTCCATCCGACCTTCAGATGCAATGGCTGCGCGTTCTGGCCTTCACAAAGCTGCCATGACCGTCCCTTGGATTCAAGCTCACACTGGCCCTCTCCCCTTGCTCACATGCCCTGATGTCATTGCAACGCTCCGTGTTTGCATCGCTCTTCAGACGAGCCACTGGCAAGTGAATAGCGCCTTGCCCTGGTAAGTGCCACTGTGCTTGCCCAACCCCTCCTGTGTGCCAAGAAGACGTGAGATCAGATGAACCACGTGAGTGCTGACTCTGCATCGCTCTCTTTTCCCCGAATCCTCCCATATGTTAAAGTCTGAGCCTACATCGGAGGTGAGCTCTTGTGGCATTCGACGCACTGTGAAAAAGGATTCAGAGTGACGTGCTAGACGGTGTGGACATGGCCATCCAGCATGCTCAGGTACATCCTGCAGCACCATGAACTCGAATGACATGTCAGCATGGACAGCAGAAAGTGTGCAAGATCCACGGCCTGTGCGAAGCATAACGGAGCCTTAGGAGCTCTCAGAATGCACAAGAAATGTGAAAAAGAAGAACGCGCGTCCGTGGAACCTGATCCGTTGAACCCATCTGAGGAATGACAGTTGCCAAAGGCATCCATCCGAGGACCGAGCGCAATGCTTTGCAGAGCAAACGCGAGCGGCAGCCTCTCAATTCACCGAACAAGCTGCGAAGCTGTGGCGCATTGTGCTGCGCAGTTTAAAGAGCCAAGGGAAGCCAAGCTGTGAAAATTTGAAGAAACGGCATTGAGTCAAGGAGCGCATCTTGCTGCATGCGGCTCAGGCTGCTCCGCGTGACCGTCCACATCGAGAGATCTTCAGTAGCCTCGCAGCTCCGAGTTCCTAACGTCCTGACCAACCAAATAATCTCACATCCGCCGCATCGCAAGATGCCGCAAAGACCCCGAGCTATCCCGAGCTCAGGCATCAGCAACAATTCTGTTCTTTCGCGACTCACCAGTGAACCTGCGCATGGCAACAAAAACATACAACTCATTGGACAACTTCAGGTCATCGACCAAAAAAAACCAACCAGAATCCTCTGCCGCTGAGGCGCAGGTTCAGCTCGCCAGTGAACTGCCCTCTCACACTGCATTCCACAAAATTCCGGTTGTCCGCCGTTTGTGCGTCGACTCGCTCACAGTAGTCATCCCAAACCTCTGCTGATTCAGCGGCGCACACACACAGAGACTTACACTTTAGACCTGCCCTCTTTCACAAGATAGAGGCTAAGGGGGAAACACCGACGTGTCCACTGACGAGCAGGAAGGCGAAGTCCGAAGGGTCCCCGGGATTCCACAACACGGTGCCTTCTCCAGCACGCTGGAACCTTGTGAAAGTCAAAAAGGCCAAGCTACGTGCCCGCATAACAAACTGGGATATGCTGGGCAGCCGACTCGAAGAAAGCTCTCAATGCCGCGCTCGTGTCTGGCTGCGGAAGGTCCAAAGGCTCCATTAGGCAGCTGCAGACTTCATCAAAGAACTGCTTGTCCGCCTGTATAGCAGAGGAGTGGCTGGTGCGCAGTGCTCATGCGAGCTCTGTATGAACATGCACGCAGCCTCTGAAGCTTCGGCTGCCCATGGTTTTTGACTGGGAGTCGAAGGCATCCGGGGCAGACTGCGGGGCCGGGCAGACGGGGCAGTTGAGAGGGTCAGCACCTCAGCAACGACAGCATACACACGTCACGGAAGCTGCCTTGGATTGCATGATGACAGTTGTGACTCTGCGCTCAGGTCGGGGCGATCTCCTCTACTCTTTGAACTGCCGAATCCATATCCTCAACAAGCGAAGTCAAGCCAGAAGCTGCCCAACAGCCAGCTGATTGAGATTGTGCTATCGACATGACATGACAGCTGCCGAACTCGCGGGGCACATTACGAACTGTAACCGAGCCGAAGGTCAGGAAAAAAGCTTGCGGCACAAAGTTCTGGATACCTTTGGACCTGCGATCAGGATGATCAGGAACAGGAGAAGTTGAGGTACGGCCAAAGAACAGGCCAGCACAGCACCTTGGGCATCTCTGTCTGGAGGCCACTGCAAAGCAGCTTGATGCCCTTGTTCTGCAAGTTTGTTGCCAAGGCATTCAGCTGACCTCAACATACATGTCCGCACTACCCCACATTCGTTCGAAGATCTGGGGCGCTCAAGTTTCATCCGGGGAGCTGTATGCTGAGGAGTCAATGGAGACCACCTGAACAACTCTGGCAGCTATAGCATGAAGGTGAGTGTCTTTACATATCTTTACCTCTTGGGTATTCATAGAGAAGGAGGCAGAGACGGAAGGAGACAGAGAGCGACAGCGAGAGAGAGAGAGAGAGAGAGAGATAGGAAACGCAAAAAAACTGTAGATTGGGGGCCTGAGCAAAGTCCAGAATCAGAGCCTTGCACTGAATGTCTTGCACCCTCTTCGGCAAAGAGTACGTGTTGCCGAAAAACAATACGCCATGAAGTCGCAGCACCAGGAAGCCACCCTGGTTGTCGAAGTCTTCGAGAATATGAAGATCCGACTGGCTTCTTAACTTTCGCGAGCGCACGCCCCGTCGTGGATAGAATGTAAAGCGAACAGGATCAGAGCGCGCGGCTTGGACTGCGAAGGCAATGCAGGCACACAGTAAGCCGATCAAAAGCCCGTAGATGAAGCTGATCGTGCAAATGCAAGCTATGGAGACGACAATGACGTACTCCAGCAAGTCTAGAGTGGGCCATGTATCAACAAGAGCTTCCCACACAAGCTCAACACCAAGGTGACCAAGGAGAACCCCGGCCAGGATTCGAGGCAGAAACGAGATCACAGAACCGGCCAACGGAATAATCATCAGCACAGCTACTGCCACGCAGATACCAGTTATCCGAGAACCTCCACCACACTTGAAGTACAGTAGGCTTGAGGAGTAGACCATGTAGTTCTGCAGGGTGCCAAGGCATGCTGCTATCAAATTTGCGATGCCATGCGCCTCCAGCTCACGGTTGACGTTCACTTCCCGTCCGGTTGCTTGAGCAAGGGCCGGCACGTTCACAGGAACATGCAGACAGCTGAAAACCACGATTCCCACAAGCAGTGGCAGCTGATAAGGGAACACCTCCCACGCAACCAGCTCCACCTTCAAGAGTTCAAAATGATATGTCGCCGCCTGTGGAAAGTCTTTGAAGATCCATCCCTGCTGCTGTGCCAGCTCGTGGGAATAGCCAGCCATTGACAAAGCAATCCAGCTCGCTGGGACCAGTCCCAGGAAGAAGACCGGCAGCACAAAGGACTCCCATTCCCTACCCTTAGCGAGCTTTAAAAAGTTCAAGAGCATCAGCTCCAACAGCACCAGTAGAAGGATTTTGGGCCATTGGGCAACTTGCTCCACAAAAGCGGCCTGGCTCCCCCAGCTGATGCCAGTACTGGCCTCCACACCTGCTGCCATGATGTAGATTCCCATCCCACCGATGCAGCCCATCAATACAGGCTTGGGCAGAATCATAAACACTCGCTCCAGCTCAAAATAGCCCAAAAGCAAAAAGGCAACGGCTGTTGCAAGCGATGCCGTCGCATATAAAGCAAGAGTTGTGGGCAAAGTCATGTCGGGTCGGTCAGCCAAGGATATTGAAACCGACCTTGCCATGGAGTGCAGCATCGGTATGTTTTCGACGATCATGCATCCAAGCCCCTCGGGCAAATTCGAACAACAAGAGAACACAGCCTGGGCTATGGCAGCGGAAAGCAACACCATCGAAACTCCCAAGCCGTGGAGTTCATGAGCCATCGGGAAGACCAAGAATCCGTACGGGAAGTTATCCAGCACTGTGATGAGGACTGCAATCCCTGCTGCCAAGATCTGCTGCAGGCATGACATCAACAACTTCAGTGCGGACCTTGATTGTCGACTTGCCTGAGCTGAAACACACTTGCGCTCAGTCGTGCGGTCTTTGGCTCGCAAAATCTCAACACCAGCATGTCCGCATCAAGCCAAACCTCCTGTAAGACCCCGGCACTTCCCGGCAAGTCGTCGATACGCAGCGTATATCCAACTAAAAGATGTCTCGAGAATTTCACCCCTCAAAGGGGAAGAGTTTCTACTGAGTGGGGGTGGGCGCAGGGGAGGGGGGGCTTCGGGTGGTGGAGGCAGGGTGGAGGGTTGGGATGGGCACGTAAGCTCCTGGAGGCTGCCGAAAGGTTCAAGCACACACGAGACCAAAAACTGGGTTGATACAAACGCGCACCAAGCTGGACAGTCTCCGCCATACCAACAATGCGACGACAGGGTGGACAGCACAGCGTATTGTTCAACTGGTCCTAAAACAGGCGGGGCCAATGGCGCCCCCATCCGTCTAGTGGGGGGAGGGGGCAATTCCTAAACAGGTTTCTGCAACAAGGACGTGTGAGGGAGGCGTTAAGGCACACAAGCTTCCATAATGTGGTGCTGAGCTTCTTCCGGGCTTCCCGTGTCAAGAAGAGGATCGGCGATACCAGAGTCCATGGCCATCATGAACAGCATGGGGCCGCAGGCGCCGGCCAGTATGCTCTGTCACATCAACTTGGGAAACGTTGCGAAGAGTTGAGGGACAATGGGCAGGTGATGTTCTATTCGTTCCCTAGTTTCGGACTGAGCTTCTAACTTGAGGGTGGAGCCAAAAGCAACGATGCGCAAGAGTGTGCGACGACAGCCCATTGCACGTTCTAAAAACAATGGGAGCCATTCGGTCTGCCTCGTCGTACTCAACCCCGACTACTTCCACGGACTCCTTGGCGAAAGCAGATCAGATCCCAACTCCCGAGCCTCAATCTTTGACAGCCGGCAGCTGTGATAACTGAGATGTGGACAGGCTTACTGGTGTCGGTGTACCCGGCCTTTGCATCAGGGAAAAAAAGGTGCCCAAGCACACAGGCTCTTTGTGTACGGGGATCTTGGCCTCCCCCGGCTTTGCAGGTGCCTTACATATCTCACATGGCCACATCTGGCTTCACATCGCGACCAAAAACCAAATCATGAGGTACTGGCTTGCAGCTCTCCTGGCCTGGTCAATCTGTTAATTGTGTTGTCCGTCGTGCATAGGTGCTGGCGACGCAGTTCTGAGGCTGCATACCCCCACCGAATGGTCACGAGGTTGGTTCCTATCCGCGCTCGCTGCCCAACCTCAGCTAAGCGGCTGACCGTGGCTGCTGGCAAAATCCTGGGGCTTGGCATCGTTTCACGAAGTCTTCGCCATTCTGCGATTGCATTTCTCCTCCTTTCTGCTCATGACGCTGGACATAGAGAGACGGAGAGAAGGTGCTTGGTCATTCTGAGGTCCGCGAATCGAGTACTGCGTCGCACGCATTTTCTAAGCGGATTACGTGCCACGTGTCTGCCAAGTTTTGTCAACCGTCGCCGAGTTCTCGGCCCATGAGCGACTACCTCACACATGCACGAGATGTCCATGTAATGTGGCAGCGTGGATCTCATGAGAAGCATGCCACCAAACAGTACTTCGTGCTGACCACCGTAAGGGCCGCAGCCGTTGCTGTCTCCACAAGCTGCAGCCATTGTGTCACTACAGTGTCTGAAGCCACATCTGCAGTCCGTGCAATCGTCAGCATCTTCATGCCTCTGGCAGGAGGCATCTGCAGCGAATGTAGGTGCACTTTTTGTCCATGTTGCGATGTCTGGAGCTGTTGTCCACTAGCGATGGGGCAGAGAAGTATAACCTAACTCTCTGGGCAGCACCGAAGGCTCCACCAACCGGCACAAGCATATGTTGCACAGGAGCAATAAAGAAGCTGCTCTGAAGCTGCCACAGTCATGTAGATGCGCTCCCTGTCCCATGTCCAGGGAGGCATACCCTCTTTAAGGGCAGACTGCTTCGGAACACTAACAAGGGCCTAATGCCCGATCAGCAACGACCACTCGAGTGGTCTGTCGCAAAAGAACGTGATTAGTCTACTCCTTTCTCCCGCTTGCGAATCCACTCGTCAATCTGGCTCCTTCTTGCATCCGGCGCGGGCAACTTCAAGCAAGCCATGAAGCGCACGCTGCGGATCTTGCCTCAGAAGCACCAGCACCTTCAAAGCCCTCCAAGTCACCGCTGCAAAGAAATCTCTGTGTGCATCTGAGTCATTGGCCGTGGTCTGGACGCTGCTCTGGATCCGGCTTTGTCAGCAACAGCACAAACTCCGCAGCAGCCTCTGAAGGTGTGCTTTGGACGTTGTACCTGCATGGATTCACGTGGAGCAGGCACTTGCAAGCTTGCAGCTACAAAGCTGCCGTCCTCGCCTGGACGGGTGTCTGACCTGAATCAGGAATCGTCAAGATAGCACTTCGCACAACCAACAGATTGACTTGAGAACAAGCTTCGCTGCATGCACCTAAATGATCTCTGCAAAGGCACATGCTTCTCCAATAAGCGGTGGTTGTTCGCAAGATTGGAGAAGTTGTGGGAAGAGAATGTGTAGCACGGGGCTGACCAGTCCCCGCCGGAATCCCGAATACCACCACTGAGCACATTCCAGCACACCACTCCGAATGAGTAGATGTCTGCTTTGAAGTCCTCAGCTGACACGGTTGACAGTACCCTTGTCGTTGTGCTTGGTGCTGCTTCAGGCTTACAAGCTAAAAGAACCGTTCCACATGCACTGGTGACAGTCACCAAACAATAGGGTGAACACTGCTTAAACCAATGGAGCAGCATACGGCTTCTGAAGCACCACCTCGGGCGCAACATAAGCAGGACTTCCTGGAGGACAGTTCTGCAGCGTGAAGGCGCCGTTAGAAACCAAGCCTCATCAGCCAACATGTCACTAATGCCACACATTGCGAAGGACATATATCACATATCGTCCATAGGGCATAGAGTTCATGACCATGATCATGTTACAGAAACAGCATCAACACAAGCTCCACGAGAAAGGCCTATGCGGCCCATGCCAAAGTCTGTCAGCTTTGCCCGGCCGTCATCAGAGAAGACTACGTTCCGGGGCTTAAGGTCACGCTGCAAAGTTCCCAGCACCATGTGCAGGTGCTCCTCAACAGATTGTGGATGCTGACGCAGGCCGGGGAGGGATCTTTAAACTCGCTAATTAGACAAACAAAGATCTGCGGGCAAACTTGGATGTAATCAGAATGTGAAAACCAGGCTCCAAGCCGAGAAAGATCTGGCCCAACCAAGTCATGGCTTGCTTGGGTAATCGATAACCATGGTCGCCGTGAGCCTGATTCACCTTGTCCTGCAAGTCTCCTCCGGCACAGAACTCCATCACCAACGAGGAGAAGCATGAAATACTCTCAATGTAGTGGTTGCCAAAGATTTGCACGATGCAGGGGTGCGGATTCATCAGAACATGGTTCGTCACCTCGCGCTCTCGGGTTACAGTCGCTTGCCGTGAGGTGTTGCTTCGCTTCACAGCATACCACTGGAGAGATCGTAAGTCCATTGCTCGCCAAACAGTACCAAACATACCTTTGCCGAGTATGGCTTCTCTCGGCACGTAATCTCGGCGAACCATCGGGGGAGAATTCAACCAGTCCGCAACTGTATCACCGTTGGAATCAATTGGCACGAGGTGGTCTATTCCTTAGAGAAGTCACACAAACTACAACCACTTTTTTTCTGCAACCGAAGATGCCAGCCACTGAAAAGACTTCTTACAAGATAATCCCGACACTTGGCCTGGTTGCCCGACATCCTGCACTTTACACAAATCGGATAGCCCCTAAACAGTGAGGCCTTTGCTGTGCCGGCCTTAGCTTCAGGCACCGGGCATGGGGTTAGGGCCATAACTCAGTTTCGGCGACATCCGGCCGATAACTTCATGCACCGTGTTTGGGGGATGCGAATACAGGCAGGGAAAGGAGGAGGAAGAGGAGCAGGAGGAAGCAGTCAAGGTGGAGGCTACAGCGACAAGAGAACCTGCTTGGAGTGTAGAACAGTGTAGAAGCCAGTACGCGTGGCAAAATGTCTGCACCTGGCCATTAACTTTCGTTTCTTTCCACAGGCTGCGTCCGTGCGAACACAAATTTCTTGGCAGGCCCACAGCCGTCTGCAATAGACATAAGGACAGGCCTGACCTGTAGTTTTGGCAGGTGTTCTTCTGCAAAGAACAAACTAACTGGCAACCCGCCAGTCTTTTCTGCCAAGGCCCTTCTGGATCAGCTGCCGATTGGAGAAAGTCATATCCTAAAAGGAACTTGCCAACACGTCCGAGAATCCAGGGTAGCGCTCCCCCTGCTTCAAGAACTCCTTGATCATATAGCTGTTCCTGTGAGCGGTTCGGCAAAGGGGACCTAATACCAAGTTGAACCACAATGTAACTCCTCTGTTGCCTGGCCGAGGTGCATTGATGGGAGTTTCTGACCACCGGCTTTTTGCGCACAAAGGGCAAAAGTTCCGCACAGCCACTCGTCAGTGAGCGACGCCACATCGGCAGAGTCATTTGTGCACCTGACCGCTTGGCAAACGGATATCAACTGGGTATGAGCCAAAAGACATCATACAACCGTTCTGAGGAAGCAAACGTTTGGCAAAATGTCGCCAAAGAACTCTGCAATGAAGTCTTGGATGCTTCTTGACAGCGGCGCAAATCTTTGCATAACCTCAGCGTCGCTTTCGTCAGCAGAGAGCATGCTCACCTCAGCTGCAAGGCACAAAGAAACGCGTCTCTCGTTGCCTTGTTCACATGCCCTTACAGCATGCGGCACATCATTCATCAACTGCATCTGAAAGTTTGCCCATAGCCCCAAGCCACTTGATTGCAAAGGGAGACTAGAAAGCTTTGCATTGTGCTGGTGACTTTCTCCGCAGCTCTCGGCAGATGCAGGGCTTTTGGCACGGCTTGTTGCAATATTTCTAAACCATCTTCTCCCTGCAGGAGTTGCGCCAATGCTTGCGCGAACTTCGCCAAGGAGTGGCGTCGCGGATACGCAAGTACGCTTTGCAAGTTCGGCAAATCATTTACCGAACAATTGAAGCTGCAACGTATCGTGATCATGCCGCAACCATTGGCGAGGCAAATCGTATGTTCTCTCGAAGTGCCTGCCAACTCCGTCGTGCTGATCGGCAATCGGGCCACGCTGACCAAAGAATCCTGGCAAATACGCCGGACGCGATACACCTTGACTGTCCTTGGTCAACTACTGAGGTTGCAACATGCATCATCGAGTGCTTCGCCGGTCTTTAAGCAGAACTGACAAACTTGAATGGTGTGACCACAACCTGATGCTTACCCAGGATAGCCCTGGTAACCGTGCAGCAGAAAATGGACTACAATCATAGGACGGGCATCATCTCAGGGATTCGCCGATCCAGGAGGGTAGATGCCAATGACATGGACGCTAAGGAACTAGCTCGGGGACCCATGCCACAATCATAGCTTACAATGTCCTCAAGCGTAAATGGAATGGGGGCGTGTGTGAAATTGACATCCCCATGGCTCGGAACATGCACGATCTCAGTCTGGCCTTGACCCCTGCCGACCGACACTGTCACATACAGCCGCCAGGTATGCGGCCGACCAACAAGCCAGCGGCACACTTTCAGTATACTGTCTCCGCTCAAGGTGTTTGGAGTTTGCAGTTTGCTTCCGGTCAGAATCCTCACCCAAAGTAGACTGCTAGGAGAAGGAGCTGCTGGTGCACCACGGTCATGGGCGGCAACCTCCGAAGAGTCGGTTGACGCAGAATGTCCCATGGGAATGTGATCTCATTCCATGGCTGAGCACATCCGGACTGCTAAACACCTAAGGAATAATGGCCGGGGTTGTGCGGGATCGAGCGGCAACATATCAGACATATCAGTACTAGGAATAGGATGGATGTCTTTCTGGGTCTTGAGCTCGCTGTGCATATCGTCCAAAATTTTTCTGGCTCGGCCCACAGCAGCGACCAGAAGGCCGGTTCATGATACCATGTGCTTTGTCCTCGTTGCTTTGGGTGGACGAGTTGTTTGCTGTTCGGCTATCCCTGGAGTGCCTTCCACAGAATCCCATGGAATGCCCGCCGAATAGAGTATGCCTGGAGTGCCCTCACCCAAATAACCAGGCAGAGAATCCCGCCCACACAGAGTCCTACAACAAATCCCAAAAAAGTGACCACCCCAAAACATCTCGCAGAGAATTCCGCAGGGTACCCCTGGAGTCCTAGAGGAATCCTGCCGAGAATCCCGCACCCGCCCGTAGACAACCCTGATTCTCCGAAAGGCGCTGAGGGATTCTCCGGGTCTCTGTGGGTAAGCACTCCATGTAAGGGGGTCAAGCCTTGAGAAAGAAGTCCTGAAGGTCACCGGATCTCGACCAGCCTTATAGAAGGCAAACCACCACTATGTTAGGTTGCCGCCCCCCCACAATGTTCTTTCCGCAAGCATGGCGGAGGGTTTTCAGCGGAGTTGGCTGTCGTTAAAGAGTCGTCGTTACATGGATGGCGTGATGGATGATGTCCGGATGGATGGCGTGATGGATTTCGTGAGTTTTCCTCTTAAAATCCGCCGAAGCCTGGGGCCGTAGGTGGGCGTTTTGGTCTTGGTATGTGGCAGAAAAGGGAAACTTACAGAACAATCACGATAGCAACCCTAAGCCTTCAACCTAAATCTGACAATCCAGATCTTAACCCTAAACCCAAAACGAAAACCTTAGACGGTAACCCTAAACCCAAAACCCGCCAAAGCCCCAAACCCAAGTTTGAAACCGTAAAACCGCATCCCTAGAACCAAAACCAATCTAGAATCTTTTCAGGCGGCGGATATTAGTTTTTCAGGTCCAAACTTGGGCTCCAACTCAGGTACCGAGCACCCAGAAAAACTTAAACTTTGCTTTTGTAGGGGCCTGCACACCCTTCCCCCCAACCCCCACCCACCCGACCCCGGTTTGGGCTGCCTCGTTGCACAAGCTCAGGCCGAGGCGGGTTAAAATTTATAATTTAACATGTTGTAAAGCGCGGGGTAGGGCTGGTGGGAGGCGAGGCACTTGGCTAAAAATAAGAAAAATGCCAACCCTCTGCGTGCTTTCAAGTTGTCGAAGCGCAAAAACGACGACTCGCTGCGTGGGCGCGGCGTGTCGTGATCGCATGAACGATGACCCTCTCTGCGTGTTTTGGCGTTGTCGAAACGCAAAAACGAGGACCCTCTGCGTGGTCTCGGCGTGTCGTGATCGTGCGAACGCCAACCCTCTGATACCCTCTGCGTGTTTTTGCGCTGTCGAAACGCAAAAACGAGCACCCTCTGCATGGTCGCGGGGTGTCGTGATCGCGTGAACGCCAACCCTCTGAATGTTTTTGCGTTGCGCAGAAACTCTGTGTTTTTGCGTTGTCGAGACCGACGACCCTCTGCGTGTTCGCGGGCCGGCGGCAGCGAGCTGCAGCATCGAGGGGCAAGGGGCTCGGAAGACAGATCCATTGATCACGAGCTCAGGGCAGCAGGGCAAGGTCGTGAACCTTCGAAGCAAAAACCCCGGCCTCAACATGGCAAGTGAGGCCAGGTCAAGCGCAGCGCGGAATTGGCCGGCGGAGGAATCGCCGCTGCCGCCCGCGCGTGGTGTCAACAGGCTCGTCAGGGTCTGCCGGGCCAACGGGGGGCTGGCAAGGGGAGCTCACCGAAGGGCGGAAGCTAGAAGCCGCAGCCACGCAGGAGCAGGACAGCGCCGGCAAGAGAGCTGAGGCAGCAGGGGCGAGATGAAGCAGACGCAGTGTCATCAAGGCAAGTGGGTGACGATGCGTCTCAGGCTCCTGGAGGCGGAGCGCGGCAGCGAAGTATAGGCAGCCGGCGCGTGCTCCGCGGCACTGCGAAGGCCAAACCGGCCATGGCGCAAACAGGCGCGCACGTGCAGCGGCCGATTGGGGCAAGGGATCACTGTCGCCAGGGTGTCTCGGTCATGCGAGGTATTGCGAGGTTGCAAACGCCGCAGTGAGCGCCGGCGGGAGCAAGCGGAGAGAGTATAGCGCGCGAGGTGACGCGCAGTACAGCAGGAGCAACCACGAGACCTGCAGGTCGTGAGGACGCGTGGGAACCATGAAACAGAAGTTGGTTTGGAACCCTGAAACGGCAAGTTATGTACCCCGCCTTGAAAATCGAGGTACCACGTCAAAACAACTGCAAACGTACGCCTTGTTAACTTTTTGACAGCTCTCGCCAGAGTGTGTCGTCTGGGCTAGTTTCCGATTCGCAAGATCACTTTCGCTCCGTTCTCCGAACGAGTGATAGCTTCTCACCTGCGTGCTGAATTTCGGCATATGAGTTCAGCTATTCTTGGAAACTCCTACTGGGCATTAGTTACTCAACATAGTCCAAATTTGTTCAGTGTTCGTGTTGGGTTGCTATTCAGGCTCCAAGTGTGAAGAAGTGTTGGGGCTTGGGGCTTTAGGCTTTCGAGTACCATTTCTCGCATATCGCTCCAGAGCATCGCCGCACCAGCGCGAGCAGCTGCAACAGCCGCGAAAAAACCCCCAATGCTTGGATGCTTCATGAGAGTTCGACAACTTGAACATTCCTTTCGGTCTCCACATGGCATCTCCGTAACGACACGAGAGCACTTCGAACATGTGAACACTTTCGCACTCCCAGCAGCAGCGCGAAGGCGACGCAGCAAGGTTGCCTCACAGGGACTGTCATCAAAAACCGCTAGGCAATTACACAGAAACGACATGCCTTGTTGCCGGAGTCATCAAGGTCTCGCTCAACCAGCATCGCAGGAAGCTGGCACCCCGCCAGGGCTGCACTGCACATTCAAGCCACAAACGAGCCAGGGCTGCACTGCACACTTCCAGTGCCAATTGGTCTCCTTCTCCAGAAGCCCTAGAAGCCTTTGCCAGCTGTTCTCCAGCATCTTCTGTTTCCTCTCCGTCTCCAGCATCCTCTGTCTGCTCTTGCAGTCCTTCAGAAGCTCTTAGGACACAGGTAAAAAAGAAAGAACGAGACATGAGTGCGACAGCCCGAACAAGGGGCCGGCCTAATGAAGGAATGACTGGAGAATTGCAGTCCAAACGACAAGACATCGTCACGCTTGCCTCCGAGCACCGTGCAGGCTTCTAGTTTCCAGCGCGAATCTCCACTCGGAATGGGAATGGATATAGAGCAGGCCTGCAGGTCAAGCAGGAACCGGCATAAGGGAGCGAGCCATGGTGACTCCAGGCACAGCACCAAGCAGCAAGTGTCGAAATGAAAGTGTCGAAGCAAGGTTTCGTCACGGAACTACAGGACACTGCGGTAAAGGACACTGAACAAGAGGACACTGAAGTAGAGGACACTGAACTAGAGGACACTGAAGTAGAGGACACTGAACTAGAGGACACTGAACTAAAGGACACTGAATTACATGACACGAAACTGTCACGAAACTAAATCACTAAATTATAACGACAGGACACTGAACTACACGTGGTACCCAAGGAACTGTGTCATGGAACAAAGCAGCGGCGTCATGGTACAGTGCAGTCGTGTCATGGAACATGATTTCTACATTTCTAAACTTGGTACTAGCACGTGCTTGAGCATCTCGAGGAAAGCACGATGCTGAGCGGAAAGGTGTTGGAGCTGCGCAGCAATGTACTCATGCGTGCCGACGGGGCTTCCACGCACGCGCACACCACGGTCTTGTGGGGGCAAAAAGGTTTCACCAACCCAGGCGCGGCTGCTGTCAGGGGAGGCGGGAGATGGGGTGGATTCAAGCCACCGGATTAGAACGGGGGTGGTACCCTAGCACGGCAGCCTGCTCGGGCATGCTCGGGCCTTCCGGGTCGGCCAGCTCCAGCACCCGGTCGACCTCCGGCTCATGACCCGTGGCCACGCGTGTGCGCGCTGGACGGCGACAGAGAGCATGCCCCACCACCGCCACGCCCAGGCCGACGAGGCCGCACCTTTTTGCGCCAGTCACGCCGTCCCTGTGCAGGTCGACCAGCCCGCGAGCAAGGCCGTGGCCTTCAGCCATTCCGGCATATGCCCTGCGTGGCTTCTTGCCAGTAATCGCAGAAAACGTGTTGCCTCAACATCCCAACGTCCACCGACTTCAACCCCAAGCACCACCAACCTACACCGTCCAGACAGCCTGTGCAGCGACATGCCCTGGCCTCCTGGCAGCTTGCGGCCTTGGTGGTCCATTTTTTTCCCCTTGCACCCTTTTCAGCTGTCCTCGCGGTCCCAGTGCCAACCCACTTGTGGGCGCGCAGTCTGCAACGGGGCGACCGCTGCGCAGGTGTGGTGGTCAGGGCATGCGGCTGGCGATTGGGGGGGCCTCGGAAGAATCAGCGAGGAGGTCGCTGAGCAAGGGGACCTCTCCGTCGACATTGGCGGTGCCGGGAATGCGCGGGCTCAGCATCGCACGAGCTGTCTCACAAATGAAGCAGCCGGCACCCCACCGGCCCCCAACTTCGATGGCGAGCACGATGAGGTGGCAACGGCGGGACCGCAGCAACTCCGGATAGGTGCGCTCTTTGGGCTGCGAGCAGTGCTGCACCTACCGTCCGGCCCGCGCACTGGGGTGACCATCGTCGTATCACTGCCAGTTGCATGCCCCCCCAAAGGTCCAGACCATTGGCAGCCACTCCAAAGCGCCTGTCATCTCGTACGGACAAGTTCATGTCCCGGAGGTACACATTCTCGGCCACCGTGGTGCCAGTTTCACGGCAAATGGATGCTGCAGCAACCTCCAAGATCTCCACAGGGTACCCCCGCGTGCCCAGAACTCCACTGCGCACACGCTGCGC